GTTCCTTTATTTTGTTTTTATCCCATAAGCTATTTTTTAAAGATTCTAATCTAAAAACATTAAACCTTCCAAAATAACTGTTCAGCTATAGCAGCGTCTTCCTAATAACGACTAAAAATAAATAAAAACTGCTGTTTTCAAGCATAGTAACTATGGCAAATATCCCCCATATAATACATTTTACGAATTGAGGAAGGAAAAGGAGAGCCCTATTTTTTAAATAAAACTAATTTTACGGATTTTATCGCGTATATTAACTTATTTTACTTTCCCGACGTTTCAAGCACTTTACAGCACCCATGGTCACGGGGGGGACTGAGGTGTATGACGTCCCAATGTCATAGTTAACCACGGCTACCTCCAGATTAAAAATTATTAATTTTTGTTCCGATCTACGCAGTATGAACTTACAGTATCATGAAGTCTTGCAGTTGTATGCTTGGGGGTTGGGATTTAATTTTATTAATTATGGGATCCCAAGCAGATGGTAGCACCCAGCCATCTTCTCTATTGAAATTAGGATGTTTTTTGATTTTAATAGCCTCGCGAATCATCCTTGGAAGGAATCGGTGTTCTTTAGCGAGGATTTGTGGTCTATCAAATCTAATGTAGTGACGGGGGCGATCCTGTACGTGTTCACAGACTGCAGACTTCCCGGAGCGTCTATTCTTCACATCAGCTATGTGTTCTTTAACGCGGGTTTTATGGATCTTTTAGTTTGTCCTATATAAGAGAGACCACATTCACAATCCAGCTTGTACACTCCTGCACCGTACCTTGTACCTCACTGCTGCGACGTTACAAGACACAGTGCGAGAATATTAAATAGTAATTGTACGTGGTACAGCCATAATATGTTAGGTATGTTCTTAAGCCCAATGGCTCGGCTCGACCGGCGAAGGACCACGCTCTAGAGAAACAACAAGAACAACAGAAAACTTTACAGCGTAAAAAGTTCATCACCACATTACGACCCGTGGGCGTCGTTAGAGAAAATTCTGGGAAATGCCAAAATGATCTTTCGATAAAATAAAAGGATTCCGGTAGATGGAGGTGAAACCATCTCGTTTACACAAAACTTTATATGTCCGAAAGGTGCGTCCACAGACGTCAAAAGAGGCGATTATCTCAAATCTTTACGTGGTAGAGCCATGCTGCAGTTATATTAGTAGTATCGTTGTAAAACGAATGGGTCGGCTCGACCGGGGAAGGACCACGCTCTCACAGAGTACCAGCATAAAATAGCAGTTTTCGCTGATGTGTTTCGTATGGTGAGTTAGTGAGAAACGGAGACCCTTTTTACTGGAAACGAGGCATTCCATCTTAGTCCTCACGGGTGACAACGTATCTGCATTTTGATTCGTAATCGATGATAGGTGTTGATGGAATGGAATCGATGATAGGAGGGAGGCAGCAACCACTTACCATCAAGTGGACTGTGTGTTCGTTTGTCACCTTATCCTATAATAAAAAAAAACTCTGTAAACTTGAGAGACCCATTAAAAGAAAATAATTTTACGGATTTTATCACGTTTAATTTTAATTTTTTAATTCCCGACGTTTCGAATGCTTTACAGCACCCATGGTCACGAAGGGGACTGAGGTTTTGGACGATGATCGCAGATTTTAAGTTAGACTAAGGCTTTTTGAATAGTGAAAACCACTCTTACAAATTGCCTCTTCGTACTCCCGTACATTCATCCTCCTTTTTCAATGAATAATTTTTTGTTACATCTGTACGCTTGAGGAACTCTTTGACTCTACAAATTCGCCCTACTCGTACTTAAAATTTTTAAAAAATCCTTTTTTAGTGGATGCCTGCGTCATAAAAGGCACCTACTTTCCAAATTTTAGATATCTACGTCTGATGGTTTACGTATTACGTATAGATGAGTGAGCGACGAAATTTTTTTTTATGTAAACAAAGTCGCGGGTACAGTTAGTAAATGAATAAAAGATACAGATAATACATATGCAACAAATAGTCGTATAATGGCGGCGAAAGAGAATCCATCCATGGAGGCTACAGTGAAATGAAACAGAAGAAGGAGAAAGGCATCTGCCTGATAACAATTCAAAATAATAAACAGTGACAAGTATTATAAAAATGTACAAATATATGGCAAATATATACCCTCTATGGAAATCTATGGGGGAGAGCTATGTAAATCAGTGGACTTTAAGAGATAGGCTGTAATGAATTATGGTGAATTAATAAATATGGAAACAATTTTAATATTGCATAACAAATTAGCTTCGTGAGAAAGGGGGCAATGAAATTTTTTTTAGCTATAAAATTTTGAGAACTGCTCAAAACAAGGTTATTTCTAGTTCCTTTGCGAAACAAGCAAACTCAAGGGCGATCGGTCTTTATAACGTTTTCTTAATTTTTAATAAAACGGAAGTGACAAACAAACTTACAGTCTACTTGAAGGTAAGTGACTCCTGCAGTCCATGGACACCTGCAATCAACTTTAAACAAGGAAGGCACATTTATTAAACAGTATATGTGTAATAAATGTAATTGAGCCCTTAATTTATTTATATTGCCGCCTTTTTAAACAGTCCGTTTGCTCTATAATTGAAATGTACGAAACGCCTAAAATTATTCCACTAGGCGAAATGTTTCCATCTAAATGTTACACAAAAATAACTTAGACGCTATATAACAGGTATTCATTTCAACGTCAATTTTGTCGGGAGTTACTACTTCGTTTGTTTTGCACGCCTCACAACGCGCGAGCATGTGGGAGTGCTATACTCTCGACATACCGCTATGTGACGATTTTGCAATATAAAATTGTTAGTATCACTAAATTTAGATACTAAATCAATAAAAAAGGGTAAAATGTATTGAAAACTAGATACATTAAATTGTAAAGTCAGAGTATTTTTTTATTCATTTGTTTAGTATTTACAATAAATGTAGTTAAAATGATGTATTAGTGCGGCTGTCAGTGAGTGCACTTGTTTGTCTTCTTCACGTTTCAGAATACTTCATTATAATTTTCTGAAACGTGAAGTTACAGAAAAATATACGCAACGAAATGAAATAAATATTTCTGAATAAGTTGCCATTTATCCTCAGGATGATCCCCATTGCTTGTTGTTATCAGACTCATAGACGTTTAAAAGATGTTTATAATTTTCATCAAAATTAAATGACATTTTGATTTAAAAAAAACGCTCATGAGGCGTGCACTTTTAGATTTTCCAATTTTCATTTAGATATAATTTATTATATCTTCCTCAAGTGTACTTACGTGAATATTCGTAATAAAAATGGATATCATTTTATTTACCGCCTTGAACTTTACTTTCTAAATATTCCTTTGTTCCCCCTTTTCTCGTGTAGCGATATTGTGGTTGATAGTTCCACCACACCTACATACTACAGTGTTTTTTCATGACCGTCATCAACTTAACTTAAGAAAGTCCTGCGGAACACCTTCAAACATTTGCATCTTTAAACATCATAGGTAGTTATTATTATTATTATCATGAAATAGCACCAATTTAAAACATTTCCGTTCGAACAAAATCTGCTTGGAAATCGTTGTGATTCGCGCCGACCGAAATTGCATGACCTCAGTTTCTCGGCAGTATTATGTTATTTATACCAACAGCAAAACAAACGTCTTTTTATCTCAAATAACTTCCAATATTATAATAACAAAAAGCTATTTTTAAAGTTACGATCAGTCATTGAATGAACTAGTATTACCGTCGCACTATAAGTCAATTTTCACTTCCAGGTTAAAACTACTGCGTTTGTATCATTTCGAGTTACACCATCGTAAATTGTTTCACAGGGACAAAAATAATCAATATAGTATTATGTTTAACTTAATACTCTGTTGTGATTTCTCTTACGCAAAATAATATCATCTCAAAATGCTACTATATTGTTTATCAATTCGAAATTATTCTTCATTTTAGTTACCTATGTGTTAAATGGTAGTTGATACTTATATTTTACCATTTTTTTTAAATTAATATTCTATTAGGGGCTCGAAATGGCTATACGACAACATTTTATCTCAAAATAACACTACATGGCTTTCAAAGCATTTAGTATTTTAAACACGTTCTAGTATCATTTCGGCAATTACGAAGCGCAACAGAAGAACGTTGAGGATGTTGATCACAGCAAAGTAAGACAAAACAAATAAAACGACAAAGACGTTTCTAAAAATCCATTTAACCTGTTTTGCACATGGTGTAGGCACGCTGGTGCATATTATGGCACAACACGAATGTGTGGACTCTGCTTGGGAAGGCATCCGCATAGAATACCTGGGTGAAATAGTAGCATGATAGTGCTGTTTCTTGTGGTGAGGCGAGAGAATCAGAGACGCGTTTAACTAGTAAAGAGGCATTCTACCTTAGTTCTCAGGGGTGACAACGTCTCGACATTTTGATTCTTAATCAACGATAAAAATGAAGCTGTCAACAGACCCCATCACCCACTTACCATCAGTTGACCTGTGTATTCGTTTGTAACCTTTGCTTCTATAAAACTCCTGAGGATATTGATAGTTTATAATGATGAACCAGATGGATTACGTTAACCAGATATCATAAAACAGTCGGCAAACGTGTGAGTTTCTCTAATCTACATCCAATGGCTTTTTTAGAATTTAATTAGTGTAGCAGTTTTTTTTTTATGGGATGACTTTGATATCTTCTGATTCAAAAGACCAGAATTTCATAGGAAAAAGATAGAGCACATGAACAGACGTTCGATCCTATGTCGACAGAGCTTCATAATTTGATGCCCGCAGATAATACTTTGACTGATATTATTGTTGATACAACATTAAGATTATATTTGACATTGCTTGATTGAAAAAAAGTATAAGATTTTGTGAGGTACGTGGGACGTCCGTAATACATTAGACTTTTTATAAGGATCACACAATTGCTGTTATACTTCTTTCACATAATTAAATAGTATACTAAAATATATACAGTAATACATAAAAGGGCATATAACTTACCTCGTTAGCGGCACCGTGACGTAATACGTATAGAAGAATATGGTGAGGACGGAGAGCAGCATGACGCCGGCGACGCACTTCCTTACGTTTATATGGCTCGCCAGCCAGAAGCAGCAGCGCGGTGCCGGCGTCTTGTACGCGTGCACTTGCGCGTAGCCACCGCACTCCAACAGTGGAGTGCGTGCGCCGCGACCATCACCCGCCATGCTTAGCAACACACCACTATAATATATACACTACACAGCAACACTTAGGCCTCTATAAGATCACTGTACAAAGTTTCTATCTGGGTACTCTGACGGCTGCGTTTGTCCTTGGCGGTGGTGCTTTTTGTCGCCACTTGCCGTGTTTCCACATTTCATAGTGTCGCGGAGCGGGATCGCGCGCATGCGCTGTTAGGCTGGTAGCGCGGAAGCCGCGATTGACGGCCATCTCGTGCCGACAAACGCTTCCGTTTCCGGTTTAAAATGGCCGCCGACGCATAATGGCGGGTTGTGCTCATCACGGCGGCGTGATGCGCTCCCGGTGTTATAGCTCACGTCATCCGTGCGCGACTGGAATCAGTGCATCCGGACGATACTCTCATCGGGGTTTTCTGAAAACAAAAGAAACTTGTTAGATTCGATTTTCCATTACGCAATGTCAAAGATAAGGTAATGTTTTAGGCACTCAAGCACATTAACACTTGTTTTTCATCGTCATCGCCATTATCTTAAACCCATGAACGTACGCCTCTCAAAAATTAGGAGTATAATATGCCGATTTATCACTTAGCAGACGGTTTCGCGAAGGCAATGCACCGGAGCTAACCAAGTTGACATTATATAATCGTTAACGCTAATAATAACTATGAAAACTAATAAAAACTATAGAAGTGAATAAAATCACGTGAATGTCACGTGACAACGTTGATATGATTTGCTATTCGCATTCTTGTTTTTTTTTATATTTTTCTTCTAGCTTTAACAATAACGAGTCGCCGTCAACGCGTTACTCCCTCATCCGAGTATTATTGGTCCGGCAGTTTTTGAAATAGTTCTTTCACCACCTGTCGGATTCCACGACATTCGTCGTCTTTTGTAACACTCGTGTAAAGAGTCGAAGAGTTCTCCCTCCCACAAGAGAACATAAGATAGTGCATCTATGGCCTTCTTTGTTTAAAGTTGGCTGCAGGTGTCTAAGGACTAGAGTAGCCACCTACCATCAAGTGGACGGTAAGTTCGTTTGTCAGTTTTATTAAAATAGTAGAGTAAGTAGCTAAAAATTTTGCTACGCATTGTTATTTTAATACCTAAGAACAGACAGTTAAATATTATAGATCATATTCTTTAGGCGTATACGTTTTTCTTTTTTTAATACGGACAGCAGACATGTGGTTACTAATTCGGGTATAATGGGAAAGCAGAACCTTCGTCATGTCATTAACAACGCTCAATATAACTTACTAATAAAAATATTCCGGGAAATACAGCGCAGAGACTTAAATTAATTAAGTTATGCGAAAGCAATACAACAATCGTTAAGCAAAAACTTCCATCGTCTGAAACTTCAAGTTTAAAATTCGGTTTCTGGTTTTTGCCTAATAACTTTTACCTACACAAAGAGCTATTCTTTTGACTCGGAGAAAACTCAAGGTATTATAAACTTTAAGCCTGGGCGTTAACTAAGGTATGTTGTTTAATTTAAAACCGTTAAGCCAAATTAAACAAATGGATATTTACAATTTTTTAATAAAAACGCTGATTCTTGGAAATTACAAGAAAACTTTATTATGAAACAATTCATTTTGTAATGAAAATTTGTAATAAATTTCTTTGAGAATGGTAATATAATGACAGCAAAATATAATATAGCACAACGTAATAACGAAATATATAGAGGAAAAGAAGATACAAAAAATATCAATATATCCCAAATAATCCTCGGAATCGTTGAGTCGCAAACACCTCAAATGGCAACAGCCACAAAGTCGACCTTAGCTCCTCAAGAATAAGTATTTACGACAAAATACATCTTTACGTTCCTAAAACAAATTCATTCAAGTGTGAAATTGGACGAGCGAACCTCAAAATTCTGGATTAAACTTAATTAAAAGTTGAGTAATGAATACGAAATCCGATGAAACAATCAAATATTGTTTCAGATATATACTGTAGCACGCCTAAAGTATGGTTGTACAACATTTCGATTTTGGATCTCATTATTCAAATGAATTAAACGTTACTGTAGAGAAGTTTTCATGTGAATACGGAAATAAATACGAGCGTTACAATGACTTTTATATTGCCCTAGAAGCGTAAAGCTTTCAAAGTGCTACGAAATTCACCACGCAGTATAGTTTAAGTGAAACTCGCCGCCTGACTAATGTATGATTCCATTATTCGTACTTTGGTACGCCTAAATAAATCCAGAATACCTGCACAATTTACGAATGTAAAATTCCGTGGGAAAATTTGTTTCGAGTACCTACGTGTCTCTGTTTTCACGTCGATAGGTATTTTGGCAGACACAGAAAACTGTATTCGGTAACTAAAAGGAAGCTTTCGAGAGCTCGTTTCGAGGCGGTAGTGGAAGTAAAACGCGTCCGGAATCCGTGATTGTACGACCCTTTGAATATTAACTACCAGATGACCCGCCCGTAACCGGGGCACGGTTTTACACGCCTCGAAAGGTTAATTTCGACTACCGGCTGTTGCGACTTTTTACAGACAGCAATGAAAGTGGCTTTCATAAACAAAAAATTATGTAGATCTAAGTAGTAGATGAGAGTACGGTAATTAAGATTTCATTTGGTCAAAGAAATAATCATCGTACTGAGAACAGCAATTAATGTTGTTAATTAAATAGAAAAAAACGTTTCCTTTCAGGTTAGTTGGAGAACGAGAAAGATGAAATATTTTAAATAGATATATTGAAAAGAAAAAGACATATAACTTTCTAATACTGATTACAGATTTAAAGTTGTTGATTTATTATTATTATTACAGCCCTTCACAAGTCCACTACTGAACATAGGCAAAGGCACTGAGCGACTTGCATCTTACCAAATCGTTACAATAACCAGGGGCTGGCCCAATGTCACATCAGTTGATTTATATTAGGGTCTAAAAGACAAACCATCAAACTTGACAACGAAAAATATAATTACTATTGTGTAAGTATATATTTTTCGTTCGTAGAAAAGTTTTTTTTTATATGAGACGGGTCAAACGAGCATATAGCTCACCTGATGGCAAGTGACTACCGTCGTCCATAAACAACTGTAAGACCTTTGCAAATTCCGCATCATTTAATTGTACGTACATTGTATATCTTCACTGAATATAGGATTGACGTGTACTCGTATACTTGTTTCACCAGTTTTGATCTATTTATTATTCAGTCGTCTGACTTCGCCTTACGGCATCATCATCGTACGCAAATTAAATTGAAACAAGTACACGTCTATATATTTATTTATTTCTTGAGGATCACAGAGAACTTTCGTTGGGGTTGGCCCATGTTGCTGCAATATTACAATAAATATTCGTTAAATAATATTAAATTAAATTATATTTGTTAGTTAGCAGATGTAACATCCCCTCATAAACTGTTACAAAATGTTTTAATAGTATGAGGAGATTGTGACATCAATTTATGTCATCAAAATTCCAAAATATTTGGTTCGTAACAGCAAACCAAGAAAAATATAACAAAATATTTCTGTTAATGTACGCCTTATGCAGTGAGTGACACGGTTGCATGAATTTTGTCTATACAGGGTTATTTTGAAATTACCGGCCAAATTTGCAGAAAAGGTTCAGAATAAGTAATATAGCCAAATGGTCAAGGAAAATTAATTAAAAAATCTCAAACGTTCTGTCCTTTTTATCTTTTAAATTAAATATGCGTAATAATGATTGATAATTAATAAGAATTGATAAGGATTTATTATTTTAATTGATTGTCTACTATTTTACTACGCACGCACACATTCATAAGGGACAATCGGTTGGCAAAAACGTTGTATATTGAATCGCACACAAATCACATTCATTTGGGATAATTTTACATAAAAGTAGAATCCTTATTTACTCGTATTTTCAAAAATCTGCAATAACGGTACATTATTATTTATAAGTTTGAAGTTCGAAATTTGGTTACTCTGAAACATAACTCTGTATTTCTAAATTTCTAAATATTGACGGCCTCACTATAAAATTGAAGTAAATGAAAGAAGATAGGCTGCGCGCGAAAGAAGCAAAAATGATCGGTCGGTTAAACGTAATGCGCATAGACGAAAATCAAATTAGCTACTTTTAAATCTCCTATTACATTCTCCATAATTTTATCCCTCTAATTTTCTCCCTAAAATTCTGCCTGGGTAGTTTTCTGCCGCCAAATAGCAGCGCTTGCAATGCTGTTTCGATCTGAATGGTATAGAGAGCCAGTATAGTTACGGACTGTGAGGCATTCCCTCTTATCCCTCAGAGGTACAACAGAAGGACAACGCATCTGTAGCATTTTTGTTTGAAGTTGACTGCGGGTGTCCGTAGACTGTAGTGTAGCTACTTATAATCAAGTAGATTGTCAGTTCGTTTATCACTTCGGAATTAAATAATTAAAAAAATAAGTGACGAGACCCAACATTCCGATCCGATCGCGATAGGTCGATGGCGTTACATGTTAGAGCTAGGTATACCTATGTCTTAAGCGTTCCTTTTGTTTCTTTTTTGCACGAGAAGCCGCGCACGAGACCAATAATCGGCCAATGGCCTTTCAATAAGCCATACGCTTTTATTTTCGCGCCAAAATGGATTAATTCGGCATTGTTTCAGAAAAAATAACGCCTTTGGTTGAAGACGCTTCTGAGTTAATCTTTGTTGGACGGAACAAAGTGTTTACTAGATCACTAGTAGTATTGCACATCATTTTTGGAGCACGCAGTACTTTTTTGGGTCGTCTTTCGACCTATTTTTAGAAGAAAAGAATAAAACCATGCTATTTCTATGAAATCCATATTGTATTGATCCAACTGGCTTGTAAGTAACCGGTAAGAAGTCAAACAAACGTTCCTTGCGCGACAAATTCTACAAAAAGCCGATGGGAATTTTAGGGACATTAGCTATCCATGCTATCTCTCTCTCTCTTTCTCTCTCTCTTTTCTCTTTTTTAGGTAATGACTGATAGAAAGATACAGGTACAGAGCTAATTAAGCGATACTTAA